TGTCTGTTACCACTTTTTCTCAGCTCTCACCGAACGGATTTCTTTCAACGATACGTCAAAAGATCACAAATCGTATCTAGTCGAAGACATTACCCTTCAAAATTGAAAAAATTTCCCTCGTTCCCCGTAAATGGGGGAAATCACCAAAAAAATTACAAATTTAAAAATATCTAATTTTCGAAATGTATTCAATTTTTTTTACTAAAAACTGCAGTAACTTTTTCAAAAATGAACATATCAATATAATTTTTTTTTTTATAGATGCTTGATGTCTTTACCTATCATTTGGTATATTTTCACAACAAATTTACTTTTTCAACATAACTTTTGAAAATGTTCCGGAAGGTCTGACACTTTTATATATATCTTAAATTAAAGCTAATGTAATATACTTTAATTTGAAAAAAAAAATTTGACCTCTGGACTTGTCTTCACGGCGAAAATGGCTACTGAATGCTATTTTCGTGTGAAAATTCTCGATTTTATTATTTATATTATATTTAACTTTATAATGCTATAACTTATTGAAAAGTTTATGGATCCACACAATTTTTTTATGAGAAATAATATTTTTTAATAAACCCTTTTTCATTCGACATACTTTATCTTAATCGAGATATTAATAAGGAACCAGCAGATCAAGTAGCTTTTGGAATAAAACACCAATTTTTTAAAATTAAACACTATCTAAAGAATTGCATCGAAGAGTTTTTTTTGGTAGTGATTTTAATCACTATCAGATATCATTATACTTGATCCAACTATGTCACGTCACCACTGTGCCGCGACCCCCCTGTGCTGGGTTTTTTTTCTTCTTATTATGCTTGGGTAAAAAAATTTATTTATTGTATTTTGATATATTATTTTATTTACCATTTAATTTAATTTTTTTTTTGTCTGTTCATGACAATTTATAACATTTAATAAATTTTAATAATTGTTGTATTAAATTATAACTTTTATTTATAACTTTTTCTCCTAGAATAAGGTATAGAATCCATGGTGCTCTGTATTTGCCTCATGGTGGACCCTCCTCGGGGACTTGTAAAGTTAAACTGGTTTGTAGGAGTTTAGCTTACAAGTTGTTTATGTTATTAAATCATAAAACGTATATCAAAATTGGTGTAAGTATGGATTTATCAAAAAAAATTTTATGCAATGTTACTGATATTCGACGTTATTTATATCTTTTTCTTTGATTTTATTAAATTGCCAATAAACTGCTTACTGGTCGCTTATTCTGTGCTTGCCTTAGCCAACTGATATCGCTGACATTATTCCCTGGTTGCTGAATTAATTTTATTTTAAATTATTCTTAAAAAGTATATTTTACACTTAATTGTAACCAAGATGTCTTTTTCGTATACATTGAGGAGTTTTTATAAAAATTCTGTATAGATTAAGTTTAGGCGTAAAAAAGTATTGTTACCAAAGTAATAAATTTATTTGACGCGGTACCGTGTTTCTCTCATCTACATAGGACGTATAAATCTTTGAGCTATTACTACAGCCCCTTATCTTCCTTAACGCCGTCTTTATCAGATCGATGGCTTTCGGACCACTGTTTTGGGAGGTCAGAACTGGCGGTGACAAATGTTGTTAGCAGGCCATCTCACTACTTCCTCCTTCATCGTGCTATGCTGGTGCGTGATTTTGGTTCTTGCCATCTTGAATAAAATTACCATATTTTAACCTATCAGGGTGGTTTCTTCTTTTTACTGGTTTAATCTGAGAGCAGTGTATTTTTAAAGGGTTCTTAGTTTGGTTTAAAAATACCCCTATCTTTAGGGACATCCATAACCTCACTGGTCCGATCCATTTAGCGCAAAATCTAAATGAAACACCTTCGATGCGTTTGATAGAGAGTGCTCCCAGTAATAGACCCGGACACCTGTAAAAAAACGGAGTACTACCGGGTACTTCTGAACGGGGAAAAATGTCTCTAGCTAATGCGCTACCTGCTACCAAGTAGCCCGGTGCTTTTGCTTCCCATCCAATTAACAGTTCCGATGGGGAGTTTAAATACAGGTTTACTTTGTATAATGTATAAAATCATTGACCATAAAATCTTTTTGGAATATTTTTTGCTACAATTGTTTTATCAGTCGTTTTTGTTTTGTTATATTAATTTATAATTTACGAACAGGAGCTATACCGGATGAAAAGTTTCCAGTGATGGTTTGGTTTCATCCTGGAGATTTCCATTCTGGATCACCATCTTTGTGGGATGCTTCAGTATTGGCTGCCAAACAAAAAGTATGCTTACCAGTAATAATAATATAAAAGCATTTATTTAGTAGTAATAAAAATTAATCCTGAAGGATTCTAATGAAGTAACTATTCATTTATTTAAAATAGTTCAACTATTCATTTTTATTTTTTGTAAAACAAATAACCTTTTATTGAAAAAATTATGTTAACATTTTACTTAAAAATGTTAACATAATTTTTTTATTTATTATATTATATTATATTATAATATCATTATATTTTTTTATGATTTTTATTATTTATTTACAAGTATTTCCTTTTAATTAGGTAATCGTAGTAACAACGGCGTATCGATTAAATATATTCGGTTTTTATTCTGACAGCTCATCTGAGGCTTCTGGAAATTGGGGTCTTTTAGATCAAGTAGCTGCCCTAGATTGGGTGAACCAAAATATCGATAGTTTTGGCGGATCGTCACAAAATGTAACAATATTTGGTCAAGGTTCTGGAGCTGTTTGTGTAGGACTACATACTTTGTCACCACTATCTCGAGGCAAGTTTCAGCGAGCCATTAGCATGGGAGGAAATGTACTACAAAGAATTGCCATTACTACTTTTGACACCGAGACTGTGTTAGAAATGTTGGCTGACAATGTTACATGTTTTAGAAATACGTTGACCGGTTGCTTAAAGAATATTGTTGCCGAAGAATTGTATAAACAGGGAGGTATGTTGACTCATTGGGGTCCTGTCGTTGATGCAGTGGCACTCGCCAACGGATCACGGGATCCTTTTTTACCGGATGAACCAGGTATTCTCATGGCTGCCGACGGACTTAACCCAGCGGCCCACATGATAGGTTTTAACCATATGGAAGAGGCGTACGAGCTCTATGATAAAGTGGATGCAGTTGAATCAATAGGTGTTACTCGAGATAGATTTGAGAACCTTATTCGAGAAATGGTTGATGAAGAACAATTACCGGGAGGGCAACTAGCACCAATGATAGCTAGTGAAGAAAACTGTACTCTGAATGTAGATTTTGTTTTAGAAACCGTCATTTTTCGATATGGTTATCAAGCAAATGATCCTGAAAATTTGCGAGGAAATTATGTAAAACTGGCAACAAACAAGAAGTACGGTTCGACTGCATTTCGTATGGCCATTTTCACTTCCAAGCGAAGTCCTACTTATATGTACCGATTTGAATACAAGTTGCGAACAACCAAAGTGCTAGTAGTACCGGAATGGATAGACGCGGCGCATATGATGGAATTGCCATTTGTATGGGGTATGCCGTTTTGGACTAATCTACAAAATATTGATTGGTCGTCGGCTGATAGGCGTATGTCTGAAAATATGATGAATATGTGGACAAATTTTGCAAGATTTTCAAATCCAACGTTTAAGGGATTCACTGTAAAGTGGGAAGAATTTAAAGGTATTAGTCCAAAAGTAATGGTGCTTGACAAAAATCTTAACTTGTCTTTTCCTGATCAGGAATACAATTTTTGGGCTGATTACTATCCAAAAGTCTTAAATGTCGCAATGCAGTGTTGCCAAAATGTTACAACCGATGGTGCCAGTATTTCATCACTTTCATTAGTTTTTTTGATATTTGTTCCATTGTTATTGTATTCATTTCCTATAGACCTAATACACATAAGCGCTTCATGGTAGTAGGCAAAATTTAATAGTTTATAAACTCACTGATATATCAGTATCAATGAAATTTAAATTACTTTCGCAATTAGTACACAACGGGGTTATTTGTTAACTTTTAAATATGTCAATCAAATATTATATTGTGTTACATCTAAAATAACAGAATATTTTAATCATAGTTCTACCAGATTTTGTAATTTAAATATGAAAGATGCTATAGTTATTAATATTAGTTTATTTAGGATATCCACATGTACTATTTTAATTGTATTATAATAGATAGCAGTATTATAGCTTCAACTAACTTAGAGACTTATATCAAAGAATAGCCAGAAGGAAAAATAATTTGAATTTACATTGGCACTTATTAAGTTCAAGAAAGCAAGTCTGACATGACTAGAAATCAAACGTGCTGCCATTTGTTGAGAAATCTTCTTGTTTCTTTATACCGTGTATAACTGATTATTTAATTTCAAATTAACAGCCTTATATTTTTTACAAAATTTACATTGTATCCACACCACATAAAGCTTAAAAATAAGAGTAATATTTGTTTTCTATTATAGCTGTTTACGATAACACCTCCACAGCACAGAAGTCTGATAAGAACTAATATTATGATTTTTTTTACGGAAAAACTAAATGTATTTTGATTAAAAACTTTCGTTAAAAAAAAGTTTTAATTAGATATGCTGTCTAAATTAAATTAAATTAATTGTTTTCACAATGAATTTTTAAGAATCTTCAAGTAAAATAAAATAAAAATTATGAACAATTAAATTAATTCAACAATTATGTCTAATAGATTATTTAACATAAATAACTAATTAATAAATTAGTTAATCAACTCAATTTATTATTTTTTTTTTTGCTTAATTTTGTGAGTAAATTGTAATTATAAACATTCTGTATAAATTAAGTTCCTATAAAATAAGTTATTTAAATAGATAGTATGCCAATTAAATAGTAATTTAATGTAAATTATCTCCTAGGTCATTTTTTAAAATATTTTCTCAAGAAAATTAAAATAGTTGATCTCCAGATCAAATAATAATTACTAACTTCAAATAGGATGACTTGGGACAGAAAAAATGTTAATATGTATTTTATTAAAAATATATCTTATATTTAATATGTATAATATTAAATAATGATAAAAATTTAAGTTTTATTTTATTTTTTAAGAAAATAAATATGTTAAATAATTTTTTAAACATTATAATCCTTTTTTGTTTTATTTTAATATTTACCCCAAGTTTCATAGTGTTATTAAAACTCGGGACAAATGTTTTACTAACAACAAAATATCAAATATATTTATGAATAGTATTAAAAAAGTATTTTTGTTATAAGTTTTATCAGTCTTATATCGGAAATAATTCGATTTTAGGAATCATTACAGCAACGATTAGAAATTTGTATCGAAGTTGTTGGACGACATTTTGAACAATTTACTTAAAAATTAGGCACACATATTAAAAATGTCATTAAATTACGAATATTTTTTAATAATATAAACACGATCAAATTAATACGACGGCTAGCTATTGATATACTAAATTGGGTACTATTGTCGTTTTGTATTGAGCAGTTGATTATCAAAAATGATAATGATCAAAAATTACACAGATAAGAAAAATAAAGCTAAAAATAGATGTAATGAGTTTTAGTATTTTAATAGCAAGACGATAAACTTGTGATATTTTTTTGCTCGATGTACTGTCTTTTAAAATGTGGTAATATTTAAAATATGACTGAGTTTAGCTCATAATAATATTAAATAAAAAAAAAGGAATGCAGTTTATAAGATTAGTTTACTTAAATTTTTATAACAAAAAACTTAAAATAAATGCTTAAACAGTTGGTGGTTTTGTAAATAAAAAAGTGTAAATTTAAATTACATTTTTAATCAAGTGACGCACATTAAAAATGTTTTACAATACAGGTTATTTGTTTACTATAGGTTATTAGTTTTTACTTCAAGTTATGCATTTTTATTGCATAAAATAACAAGCTATATTTTAAAAGTTACATAATATTTTTTGTAACTTAATTAGTTTACTATTCAATAGTTAACAGTATTTTTCGAACATTTAAATATTAACAAGCTCAGTGATGTACCATATTCTCATTAATGATTAATTTCCGGAAAGAGTAGTGTGCCGATTACATCAAAATAATTATTTCTAATTATCCTATTGTAAAAAAGTTAAAAATATTCATTTCAATCTTGTGATTATTTTATTTTCCCGACCTAAAAGAAAAAAAAATACAATTTTATAACAGTTTTAATGATAAAAATTATAATCAGTTTGAATAACAACTTAGGTATGTGGACTCTGGAGAGTGACACAGCATAACATGGTAAAATAATAAAAGAGATAGACCAGGGCTTTTTCGAATACCTCTTGGACTATATTAAACCGGTTCTTAAGAAAAACATTCCTTACAAAGTGGAATTCACTACACGTAGAGAATGGAATATTAACCACCTGACTGAAAAAGGAGGATTTGTGATATATATAGATGGATCCAAAAAATCAGGAAAGGTAGGTGCTGGAATTTGGGGTTTAAAGCCACGAATAAATGTCAGTATATCATTGGGCACAACAGCCTCTGTTTTCCAAGCAGAGGTGATTGCGATACTGGTAGGGGCTCAGAACCTGCTAGTATACAAAAATAGGAATATAACTATCTTAAATGACAGTCAAGCGGCTTTGAANGCCTCTGTTTTCCAAGCAGAGGTGATGGCGATACTGGTAGGGGCTCAGAACCTGCTAGTATACAAAAATAGGAATATAACTATCTTAAATGACAGTCAAGCGGCTTTGAACGCACTCTATAATGATCAGGTGAATTCAAAGCTGATCCTCGAATGCAAGGAAACTTTAGAATCACTATCGAGGTTCAACAAAATTACACTAGCGTGGGTACCAGGACACAACGGTGTCACTGGAAATGTAAATGCTGACTTTCTAGCGAGGAAAGGAGCAGAGAAGACCTATGTTGTACCAGAACCAGTGGTTGGACTCACTGAGCAATCGCTCAAAGCGCTACCCAAGAATTTGTGCAAAGAACAACACAGGAAAATCTGAAAGAACTTGGTAAAACCTAGACCAGTGGTTCTTAACGGGGGCGGTACCGCTCCTTTGGGGGCATTTCGGTCTCTCTGGGGGTTGATAGTTTTGAAGAGGGCGCTGAGGGGGTGGTAAGCTTTTTCAAACTCGGAGATTAAAAATAATACAATTTATTAATATTATATAACAACACTACAAATAATTGAACGTGAAATCAAAATCGTTGTAATTGCGTACGCTATATAACGGCATAGGCATGTTATCTAATCGGATTTTACGTATGGGGAACGTCTTGTTTCAAATAGATTTATTTTTAAATTTTCAATCATAATAAGGACTATTCAATAGTCTTTATATAGTATTATTATTAATAGTCACTATTATATAGTGTTCCTAGCAGTGCGTGATTGATATTGCGACGTCACTAGTATATATTTTATAATTAACAGATTTAATTTTAGCTAAGTAATTTTAAATATAAATATTTTTATAATGAGTGCAAAAAAGAAGTGTCGTCAGTATTTAGTAGAGTACCTAAAGTTTGGTTTTATCGCGTCACCACTTAATGTACAGTTACCGTTTTGCCTTATGTGTGAAAAAACATTTTCTAATGAGGCAATGAAGCCATCAAGATTGAAAGATCATTTATCAAAAATTCATTCCGATAAACTAGAGAAACCACTTTCGTTTTTTCAGGCTCTTGAAGCAAAAATTGAAAAACGATCTACTGTGAATAGTTTATTTAAAAAACAAACATCTGGTCTTGATACAGGACTTGTCGCTTCGTACAAGGTGTCTTTATTGATAGCAAAAAACAATAAACATTCAATCGGCGAAACTCTTATTTTACCGGCTCTCAAGGAAATAATCGATACTATGCAAGGAGAGGGTACTAGCAATAAGGTGATTAAGTCAATTTCTTTGAGCAATGACACTGTCTCCAAAAAAATTGATGAAATGGCAGATGACATTGAAAACAAACTTATAAATTATTTAAGAGAAAATAATTTTTCACTACAGATTGACGAATCAACTGTGTCAGATAATAAAGCTATATTACTAGCTTACGTGAGGTTTATTAATGAATGTAAAGAAATCGTCGAGAAAGTATTGTTTGCTACAAGTTTGATCATTGATACCAAAGGGTCGTCGATTTTTCAAGCGGTGGAGGAATATTTTACCAGAAAAAATGTCCCCTTGACAAATATTATTGCATGCGCAACGGACTGCGCTCCTTCAATGACCGGTCGTCATGTTGGGTTTATAGCCCACCTAAAAAAAGCCGTCCCAGGTATTATTTGTGTTCATTGTGTTATACATCGCCAACATTTAGCTGCTAAATACTTAAGCGATGTTCTGCACGAAACCCTTCAATTCGCCATAAAAGCTGTAAATAAGATTAAAGTAAGTTCACTCAATGACCGCATGTTTCGAGAACTTTGTCATGATAATGATGAAGATTTTGAAAGATTACTTTTGTATATTGCAGTAAGGTGGCTTTCTAAAGGAAAATGTTTGTGTCGTTTTTTCGCATTATTTGACTCTATCATTGAATTTCTCGATAAAATTGATCCTGTCTTAAAAGACAATTTGAAACGAAAAATTGAGATTGGGTACCTCACAGATATTTTTGAAAAAATGAATGAAGTCAATTTGAAGCTTCAAGGGAATAAGATGAATTTTATCAAAGCCAAAAGAATAATTTCCTCATTAATTTTTAAGTTTGATCTTTACAGAACAAACATGAATCGTCAAGAACTGAGTCAGTTTCCAAATCTCAAGTCATGTTCAGACGCAAATGGTGTAATTCCAGAAGATAAAATTCAAATTTTCAGTGATCATATTTTGCAGCTCGAAAAAGACATGAATTCAATATTTCAAGACCTACTTGAGTTACAAATCTGTAATTTGATTTTAGATCAATTTTCGTTTGAATCTGTGAAAGATCTCGAACTTCATTTACAAATGGAGTTAACGATCTTAAATACGACTATGAGGCACAACTTGTTTTTAAGCAGGTCGGTTACGAGCTTGTCTGTGTCATGCTTAAAGACACTTATCCACAACTATGGTAACAAGTTAAATTGTTGCTTCTCTCTTTCCCGTCAACGTATCTAGTTGAAAAAGGATTCAGCGTTGTTGTTCAGCTTTTAACGAAACAAAGAAATCGGTTGGACATTTGCAACAAAGGTGATCTACGCTTAGCTTTGACCAATATCGAACCAGACATCGCTACATTAGCAGCTATTCATCAGGCTCAGGGCAGTCATTGATAGGTATAATTTTTATATTTTATAATTTTTTTTTTCGTAGTCAAGTGAATCTTTTTGTATAGTAAAGTAAATTTTTTTTGTTAAGTGGTGTAATATAAAACCATTAATAACTAAAAATAAGAGTTTTTACTTTAATTAATAATGTTATAATATACTGATGAATAAATATAAAAATATATATTTATTATATATATTAGGGTGGTTCTTATTCTTCGACTTCATAAATTCAGAGTCATGGGCTCAAAATTTCGTTAGGTTCACTGAAAAAATGAAACTGGTAAAATTTGAGTACAATAAGTCAACCCCTTCACGTACCTCAAAGGGGTTGAAGTTCTTCAAAAATGGGGTGGATTATCTTTTTTTGAGTGTATGCTCTTTATTTTTGAAGTTTCGCCAAAAACACAAAGAACAATTTTTATAGAACTAAATGTGAACAAAAAATAAGGTTATACATTATTTTTTTGTAAAATTAATATTTTTCGTAAAATTAAAAAAAATTAGTTTCACTTAATTTTTTTTAAAAAATTACATAGTTTTCAGTTATACTTTTCCAGTGTCTTAAATTTTAATTGTACGCAGAAATTGTACAGAAGTAATATTAATCACCGTGATATCTTCTATAAAAAACTTTATTTGAGTTTTTTTTGAATCCTTTCCAAAAAAAAATTTAAAACAACTACGAAAACGTGTTTTTTTTAAATTTTTTTGCATGTATGCTTTTTTGTTTATAAACGAACAAATTTTCTTAGTTATATTAAATAAAAAAAAACAACAAACACAATAAAATAATAATTGTAATAGATGAGTGTTCAATATTTTGGAGAAAAGCGCGTATTCCTACACCGTATTCTTCAGACTGTGTTATTAAATTAAAAATATTGTATGACAAATAGAGAAAGTTGGACAAAAATAAATCTAGAAAAACAGAAACACAAGAAGAACATTACAATATTTTTTCTAAAGAATTAGACAACCTCTTTGACATTTCTCATATCGAAGCTCTGTTTATCACAATAATAGTTTTCCCAATTTGAATATTTTTTATTCAAAATTTCTTGGCTACAACTGGGATACAGTTGGCGATATTGTTGAACCACCTAAAATAGTCCAAAGTAAAGGTTATAATACATATATAGTAATTTAAAATTAAAAATTTAGCAGTATTATTATATAATTTCATACTTGTAATATAAATTGCTTTTGATTTTCATCCCTTGTAAATTTGTTGTTGAATTCTGTCGTTTACTATTTTTATGGAGGATAATATTTCTTTGGCGTTATTGTATTCATTATTTATTTCCCATGTGGTAGGATCTTCATATAAAAACTTGAATTTTAATTTAAATCACTCGAATAATTTCCATGAATTGTTGCTGAGAAACAAAAAAAGATCTTTTTCTAGAAAATCTGATAAATCTTCATATTTTAAAATTAATTTTTTATTTGAATCTTCATTTTCTTCTGGCTCTTTATTCGTGCTCTGTTCATAACCTTTTAATATTTTTTTTGCCATTCGCTGCTTAGTATTAATGTCAAGTCGATCATCAAATAAAGAAAACACAGCACACTTATCATTTAAATACCATAAATGGTTTATAATTTTATAGCTACTTCTCCTAGTTTATTATTACTATAGTTAAATAACTTTTTTAATAACATTAAATCATTTATAGGAGCTGTTATAATGTTCGCAGCTGAAAACCACATTTTAATATAACATTCAACTACAAAACAACATATATCTTCTAGTGCATTTACTTCTTTTGAAGGCCCAAGTAATTGACTCATTTCTTCAACGTTTTCCTCTATATCAGTATCTTTGTCCTCCGAGCTAGATCTGCTATAATATTGAGTTTCGGCTAAATAATAAAATACTTCGGTATATAAAAACTGCTTACTTATAATGTACTGAAATTATTGTGTAATATTTATTTCTAACTTCTCTTTTTTCTTTCGATCATCTTCTTCTTCTTGTCGAGTAATTTTACGTTTTTCAATACCTGTTAACTTCATATCAATACCAAGCATGCCCCTGGGCGGCCTTTTTTAAGTTGTGACAATAAAAACTGTTTGTCTTCTTCAATACTCATCATATTCAGAGCTTCGATATGAGAAATGTCAAAGAGGTTGTCTAATTCTTTAGAAAAAATATTGTAATGTTCTTCTTGTGTTTCTGTTTTTCTAGATTTATTTTTGTCCAACTTTCTCTATTTCTCAAAGACAGGATTCTTTGGTCATCTATAGAGGTGACATTATTTTTTATTTTTATTTTTTATTTTTTAACGGACGTTAGTCCAATAACAATTTACATGGGTGTAAAGTAAGATACAAGAATAAAAAACAATTTTATATAAATGCGAAAAAGTATACAGCATTATGAAACAAACTATTATAATATAAGTGAATATAAAAACTCAGAAAAGTTCACTAAAATACAAAAAATCATTTAAAAAAAATCAAACAAATATATATTAAGTAAAATTAAAACTATATTAAAAATATTATTAATTTAAAAAAACTAAAAAATATTAAAAATATTAAACTCAAAAGCCACAAAAAAATTAATGAAAAGTCGCGGATACGTATTTCGGAAACAATGTTACCATTATCAACGCTAAACACATACTGACACCCCGACTAGAAAAAACTCCCTTATATACCCCTAGTGACCTTATCACCTAGTGACGTTATCACTAAGTAATATTATCACATTTTGCCAGTTTACACAAGTTTAATAATGAATTTTTCAGTGGGCCAAGATCCCAATTAATTAAATTGTTTTTATTTTTAAACATTTCTATTGCTTCTCTGATATTAAGTTCTTTGTAATTATTTACGTTTTTAATTAGTTTTATGGTTTTAATAGAGTGATTATGTGTCAATAAATGTTCAGCCACTGGAGATTTCTCAATTTCTTGATTTTTAATATTTCTTAAGTGCTCTTTAAACCTGACCCCTATATTTCTTTTTGTTTGTCCTACGTAACATTTATTACAACTTTCACATTGTATTTTATAAATGCCTGATTTCCCCCCTTCATCTACCTTATCTTTAGGGTTACCTAATAAATCTCTTAAATTATTACTCTTAGATGTTACCAAAGTAATACCAAAATTCTTAAATATTTTAGTTAATCCATTTGAGATGCCCGGATAAAATAAAATTGGTGATCTAATTACTTTTTGTTCCCCCTCGCTGGAGAGTGTACTAGCTGCCCTCCTTTCTTTTTTCCACTTTTGTTTTCGGACTAATTTCAAAATTATGTTTTCGTTATACCCATTAAATTTAGCTATTTCTTTTATAACCACCAATTCTTTATCATAATCTATTTTATTCATCGGAATATTAATTAATATTCATCGGAATATATAATTAATATTCCGAACAAATAAATGTTACGTAGGACAAACAAAAAGAAATATAGGGGTCAGGTTTAAAGAGCACTTAAGAAATATTAAAAATCAAGAAATTGAGAAATCTCCAGTGGCTGAACATTTATTGACACATAATCACTCTATTAAAACCATAAAACTAATTAAAAACGTAAATAATTACAAAGAACTTAATATCAGAGAAGCAATAGAAATGTTTAAAAATAAAAACAATTTAATTAATTGGGATCTTGGCCCACTGAAAAATTCATTATTAAACTTGTGTAAACTGGCAAAATGTGATAATATTACTTAGTGATAACGTCACTAGGTGATAAGGTCACTAGGGGTATATAAGGGAGTTTTTTCTAGTCGGGGTGTCAGTATGTGTTTAGCGTTGATAATGGTAACATTGTTTCCGAAATACGTATCCGCGACTTTTCATTAATTTTTTTGTGGCTTTTGAGTTTAATATTTTTAATATTTTTTAGTTTTTTTA